CCTTCATTTGTATAAGATTCGTTTTTTTGCTTTGCAGGAAAAATAACTGTAATAGAGCAACAAATCGCCGTGAATTTTTCATACGCAACTTTGAAAAAGCGCTACTGAAACTTATACTTTATTGAAGGAAATGCATGGAAATGAATAATTATTACTTGCGTGAGTTTTTGACTGGTTTAAGCGTTTTCAGGATGGCTGAAAAGACTTATTGAAGATGATTCACGCTCGGGTCACCATTTCACGTCCAAAACGAATGAAAATATTGAAAAAAACCGGTATTCTGATTCGATCTGAACGTAAGATTGTTGAAATTGTAGGAATTGTCAAAAAAACAATAAGAAAAAAAGACCCGAATTGTGGAAGAACAAGTCATTGGTTCTCCATCCAGACAATTCGCCGACACTCATTCTGTATTCTCTGTCAAGGCGTTTCTAGTTAAGTACAACATCCCGGTAATTAAATATAATAATTCAAAAAAATTGCTTTTTAAAAAACAAATTTACAACTTTTTATAACGACGTTAGAACAGAGAATGAATTTATTATATTAAAAAGAAAAGATGATTAGCCTCGGCCGTCTTCTTCTAGTCAGCAGTTTTATTATCAGCTAGGCAGTTTCCATGTATGTAACTCGGTGTTTGATTATTCGCCTGACCTTGCACCATGCGACTTCTTTCTAGTTCCCAAGGTCAAATCTGCATTAAAATGAGCAACATTTCAGACCGTTGAAGCTGTGATAGAAAAAGCGTAACGTGTCATGAATTAACTCAGAAAAATACTTCCAACACTGTTTTGATCAATGGAAAATTCACATGGATCGTTAAAGGGATAGAGAAGAAGTGTATGTTGAAGGTGATAACAACTAAAAATGTATAAGTTTAAAATAAAATTCAAAAGGAAAGACTTGTATTTCGTGCAAAACTTTTTAATTAATAAATGCAAAGCGCTTTCGGCTTATTAGCCATCATCAGTGCATATCTACAAAAATTGTGGATGTAAACTTCCAATTTAAAAAATATAAATCTGATTAAGACTTTTAAGTCAAGAGTTAAAATTGTATATATACGGTTGTTTGAACAAATTAACAATTAAAAGATACAAACAAAGTGACAAAAATCCAGTATTGGGAATAGTGAGTGTGGGATAAGCCCTTACAAATCATATCTGATCTCCAGAAGCAAGTTAGCTTGTGTGGAATTAAGAAATTATACCACCTTCACCATTCGCACAATTGAAAACAAGTTAATAAATTAGTTAAAATTTAAAGAAATTTACTGTGGAAAATATATATTGAAATTTGAATCTAGAATACAATAGTTAATATGAAGAAAGTTAAACACAGAAGGCCAAAGTAAAAAACTGAAGGTTTTTTTTATATGTATATACATTATAATTATAAAAAAAAAATTCTACCTACTGTCCACAATGTATCCAACAAGTTCCTGGTCATCCTCACTCCCAAAATTAGTTATTTCGGGATATTTACAACTTGCTAAATCATATTATTAGTATTATTAATATTTTCAAATTTAAATTTCTTTATCTATTCATTTTTATTTTTATTCAAGTTCTTTAACCGTTTCCACATGACAGTGGTGACAAGCGATACTTAAGGCATTTCTTTATAAGCTTACTACAACATACTTGGTTACAGTATTGTGGTTACTGTGGTGACATTACGCATACCATGGTTTCCCTATTATTGAATGTCATATGTCAAATTTAATTTAAGTTTGGGGATTTCTAAACGAAATTTGTATTTTAGAAATTTTAGGATGTTTTGACTTTGTTATTTTTTATTATAGTATGTTCTAGTAAGCTTATAAATAAAGGCATTTCTTTATAAGCTTAACACGACATACTTCGTAACAGCGTTGTGGTTACTCTGATGACGTCAGACATACCGTGGTAACTCGTAGCACTTGTCGTTGTCACATGTCAAATTGGGGATTTGTTTACTTTGTTTTTGTTCAGATAAATAAAAGTGTTTTTGTCACAGACGTCATTTGGTTTTCGTTCTTTTGTTATTTATTTAAATATGTCTCCTCCAACAAAAGGAAGAAAAAAATGAATAAGTGTTATTTGTGATGAAATAACAATGATAAATACTTGTGCCAGTAGTCCCATATTTTCATCTTTATATTTCAATATAAATAACAGTATCCAATGGCCATCAACATCGCTCTCGTGAAGAGTTATTTCAGTGCCCTGTATTTCAAATATAATTTCTTTCATAGTAAATGGAGTTTTCTTTGGTAAATACAAAAATGCCCAACCCAAATATACAAAATGAACCATATAACCCGTAACCACAGAAAAATGTATCTAATTTAATATCTTTACAATACTTTGCGCATGCTCGATATGTTTAAATGCGGACCTTACTGACCTTACCACACACCTTACCCCTAAAAACATCATGGTTAGTAGTAGTTACATATTTTGGTAACGTATGACGTCATGGAAGTAACCAAACCGTTTAAAGAATTGCTTTGGTTACATAAGTATGTTCTAGTAAGTTATGGTAAGCTTATAAAGAAATGCCTTAAATGCCTCGTTAGATGTAGCTACATATGCTTTGGTAACATGTAACCAAAGCAGAGTAACCAAACGTTATAAAGAAATGCTCTGGTTACAGAAGTATGTTCTGGTAAGCTTATAAAGAAATGCCTTTAAAGACGTTGACTTGTCAAATGTCAAGAGAGGAGGTGCGTTCACCTCAGTGTGGAACATGTTTCTCCAAGTGTGATTTGAGTGATTGGAGGTGGTTAACGGAGATCAAAATTTGTTAGTATTGAATTTAAAGATTTGATTTATTGTTAGTTAAATTTAAATAAATATTTAATATGAAATGATGTTATTATTTTTAATGATCCTTTTAATGTCAAGACAAAACAAAAATGTCACTCGCGTGGTTCTGATGTGCCATCTCGGGCTCTGCAGAACTTTTTTCCCAAGATGGCACAACTGAACCCGCGGTTGCTAGGGGTGAATCTGATGTTTAGTCTTAAAAATTACTAAATCACTCATCAAGCGTATTCATGGTTGAAAGAGACAAAATAAAGAACAAAAAAGTTTTAAACAAAAGAGTACCATGGTCCCAAAGGTAGGCTCTGATGGGTGAAATAGAGGGGATGGCTCTCAAAGGCTTGTATTGAGCGACTCGGGCCTACATCATCATAGAGGGTTAAAATAAAATGTTTACAGCAATAGTCTCGTTATTTTATAGCCACACCATTCATATATTAGGTACATATTATTATTAAGTTATATTTGGAAAACTAGTCATGGAATCCAATTTTTCCAATAAGAATTTCGAACGAGTACATCGAGAACTATACAATATCAAATATTGAGATACTTTGATGGTGAAATTTTTTTTGGGCATTTCAGCTGTTTTTGTTAGGTGGAAATATCTACTTTGACCGAAAAAGATCTGCGGAATCATGAATCACCCTGTAAGTGGCAATATTTTGATTATAGTAGTATATGTGTATTGACTACACAGAATGAGCGAATAACATCCAAAAATATTTAAGTGTGATTTTTATTGTCCATTTTGAAGAATTAGGGATTTCTAACTTCAACATCCTGTATCTCAAAATCTAGTCAAAGGATATGATTAGTCTCATGGACACTATTGATGGTGACATCAAGTAATTTAACACATAAAAAATTCCGACATTTTGATGGTACTCCCGTTTGCATTAGGAAAGTGCGTGGTCCTTTGCTGTAATGCTTACTTTCAGCTCTATAATATAATAAAGTAGGTATAGACAACCTTTGCTTAGCTGAGGGCGTAATTTCGGGACTTAATTATGTCGCGGTCCGTAGGCAAGAAATAAGTAGGTAGCGAATAAAAATGCGAAAAAAATTCACACATTTTTTTTATTTATTAATTATAATAGCATAATGATTATGCTCAATCAAACATATAAAAAACAAGTTAATAAAAAAAGATAGAAAAATCAAATGAAAATTAATCAAAAACTTGAGTTTGAAGCTGAGAAACAAGAGCTGATCAATATCACTAGTACATAGGCGCAAAGTGTTTTCTAAATTAACCTCTGTAAGCCGAGTACGATGCTTATTTTTATTAATTTTTATGATTGAAAAAAACTCACATTTATACGTGCTTCCAAATATGCAAATCATTTTTCGTGCGAAAACTCTCAGCTGTGGATACTTTTCTTTGGAAAGGTATGTTCTGTAAAATTCGCTTAGTTCCACATCATCAAATTTAGACTTTAAATATAAGTCCTCTTGAAGCTCTATCAACTCCATTTGTAGGTGAAGCGGAGAATCTTCCACATTACACCTACAGGAATTTGCAAAAATATTGAAAGTGCTATCCATGTTCTTTAAATCGGAAAATCGATCAGTAAATTGCTCGGACAGTAGTTTCAATTATTCTGTATAACGACCGTACTGAATGTTTTTGTGATTGGATAATGTTGAAAAATGAAAACAATTTTTACTTCTCATAGAGCGAAGGCTCGTATATACCCCCCATCCCCCCCTGTGGGAATTTGTGTGTCACATATTTTTTGGTTGGTATTGCCATGTACTTTAAGGTTTTAGTTGTTTGCTTCATGCCAATTAAAGCATAGCCCGGAAAAACATGGAAAACCGCGGAAAACTGAAAAACTTATATTTTATTAACCTTTTCCAGATAATTAATTTTTGTTTCAAGTGAACTGTAATCATGTGCGATGAAAAGCCTTCAAGTCTAAAGCGGCGACATGGAGCATTAACAACGTCACAGGAGAAGAGATGCATAATTCATTTTAATGAAAACAAATCGGACAATAAGTATTCTTCGATCATTTTCCGCTCAATCATTTCAAAAAGTTCATGAGTTTGTTGAAGTGCGACTAAAATTATCCAGTGAAGGTAATAGATTGGAAACTGTGTGTAGTGCCAGTGGATCTCGATGAAGACCATGATTTCTACCATTGCTGGTGTTACCAAAAATTAAAAAACGTGTATCGCTATCAAGCAATGAATGTGAACCATCAACATCCAAGCGAAGCCGCAAAGCTTCGGCTCCCACAACAAATCTATTTCCGAGTGATAGCTGCATTTTTTGTTACAAGAATCGAAAATGGATTTCTTCGAAAAAAAAAAAAGTACGATATTCCTACCAAATGTGTTACAAAAATAGCGGGGTTGTCCATTATCCAAGCTGCAGAAGCGAAATCAGATGACAGATTTTTATGTGAATTGAAAGTTGTAGATTTCATAGCTCGTGAAGTGCACTATCATAATTACTGTCGTGAGGAATACACAAGACTTCCGGATAGGCGACTCCATGCCACTCCAGAAAGCGAGTTACTTGCGCAGCAAAAGGTACATATAGAAGCATTTGAAAATTTAAAGAACTATGTCCGGAAAGCATCATTCTAAGTGGTAATATTGAACGCATGACAATACTGCGTGAGAGGTATTTGTTGTTCATGTCAGAACATTCACCAGAATTTTATAATGAAAACTATAAAACTGACAAATTAAAACAAAAACTAATAAACCATTTTGGCAAACGTATATCATTCTGGCAGCCAAACTAGAGAAGTAAACTTGTTTACTCGTCATGGATAAAATCAGGAGAAGCCATAGAAACTGCGTCATCAGAGATACGAAGAATACAAGAAGCTGCAATGATTCTGAGACGACATATCCAGCGGGCATATGAAAATTCACCGAAAATGCCTTGGCCTCCTTTAGCCGAATTTCTGGCATCAGAAGAAACGAAGGCTCCTAATTTACTGTACATTTAACAAGCGGAAAACCATTGCACGCTGCGAATGACAAAGTTGAGCGCACAGTGAATTCATTTGCACAGGATTTATGTTATAGTACTACTAATGGTAAATGAAAAATGGCAAAGCATTTGAGTTTAGGAATGACTATAAGACACCTTACAGAAAGTGCAGAATAGATAACTTTGACAAACAGATATGGTCATTGTGTTTCCTACTCACACTTGCTTGAGTTAGAGACTGCTATGTGCAATAAAATAAAGGACAATGATGAACTTCTTCCTTCAAATAAAAAAATATAAGAATATGGAACTAATATTTCATTTTCCAGCTATTTTCCCGATAAACAAGTTTCATTGAAATGTCAAATTTTTTTTAAGGCATCTTTTCCGTAATTCAGCGGTTTTCCATGTTTTTCCGGGCTATGCTGTAATTGTCAAAAGGCAAACAACCTAAATCTTAAACTACATGGCAAAACCAACAAAAAAATACGTGACTCACAAATTTCCACAGGGAGGGGAGGGTTTCGTCTTTGTGGCTCATGGTCTATCATTTGTATTTCCCACTAGCGAATTTTGTTTTGAAAAGCCATAAGATGTTTTTGAAGCTTCAAGTTCAGGTCGTTTAAGTATCCTGTGATGGGAACAAGGAATGCCAATTCACAAAGCCTAGTTGGATCACAAATTTGCGACAATGTTTTCTATTTCATTTCCATAAAATCAGCTATTTCTTTTCTAAGGTCATAAAATCTGTTTAGCATTTTCCCTCTGCTTAGCCAACTTACTTGGCATATGTCACATCTTAGAGCACAAGTTTTGTTGATGAATAATGCAATGCAGAATTATAAAATTACATTCTTGCACGTTTATAGCGATTGCTCTTTCCTTCAGAATCCCGTTAAAACCTTTTCGTGAACCGACAATTGAAGGCGCACCATCCGTATACACTTCACTTAATTTACACCACTGCAAACCATATTGCTCAAAAGTACACTGCACCTTGGCTAAAATATCTTTTCCAGTAGTGATCCCTTGTAGAGGCCGTAAATCCAGTAATTCATCTGTCATTACAACTTCTTCATCAATACCTCGTATAAAAATAGATAACTGGACTGTGTCAGATAAATCTGTATTCTCATCCAAAGCAATCGAAAATACTTGAAAACCAGCTAATGTATCAATCAATATTTTTTTGAAATCACTAGTCATTATATCTATACGTCAAACAGCAGTATGTCGCAATAAGCTCACTTTCTCAAACTCTTTCTTCTTTTTTGGACACAAAAGTTCTGCAGCGTCTACTAGACACTCTTTAACAAACTGTCCCTCAGATAATGACTTCGATTTTTTCTCTATTTTGGAACTAATTATAAAACTAGCTTTAACAACACTGTCTAGATTTGATCTTTGTGAATGGAACATTTGTTGCTGTTTCCCTAAATCTGTAATGAGTTTTTTAATTTTATCCTTTCTTAACTGGCCCATGAATGCATTATATTGAGCAAAATGCTTGCTGGAGTAATGCCGCTTCATATTGTATTCTTTTATAACAGAAATTGTTTCATTGCACAACAAACGCATAGGTTTACCATTGTGCAAGATAAAAAAAGTATTTGTCTTGGAATTGACGACATTCTGTGTCCACTTTCAGCTTTTTTGAACCAGACATGTTTTTGCTTGACTATGTCCCTAGACCAAATATCAGGAACTATTTCTCTAGAGAAATAGTCAATATTTGGTCTAGTGAAATAGTCGCCCCAAATATAACGCGACCTTGATTAATATTCTGCTATTTTTGTTGTTGCTAAATGTCTCCAACATTTTACAATTTAATTCTACATAATTTTGGCATTAATACTCAATTGATTAAAGCCCTTGAGCTAAAGCTCTCGGGCTCTAATCAGATTATTAATGCCAAAAAATGTGTCTCATCAAATTGATTTTAAAATATTCTCGAGATTTAGAAAAAGGTCTTGGTATTTTACCTTGAATATTTCCCGCGTCGTACTCTCGATCGTATGTGAATATGCGATGCGAACTTTATCAGTTGTTAAGAAGTAACACAGAACAATTACTTTTAGAATGGAAACTGCAATGTTAAAATTTGCGACAGTTTTGTAACACCCGGTGGGCGTTCTTTGAACTATTTGGCGGAAGTGGCACCATCTCGCGGTCACTTTAGTTAATACAAAACGCGGGAACATTTAAAATGGTCCTTCAATATTTAGTTTAAAAGTGGTAGTCAAATTAAGATTTGTTCATACCAACTCCTTTTTTACGTTTATTGTAGCAATAAAATTATATTTGTTACAATAAAGCAAAAAATGAGTAGTATGAACCAATATTAACTTGACTACAAGCTGAAATATTTTTACAAAAAATTAAAAAGCATGATCAACAAAATTAATTTATTAAAACAAAAAAAACATACAAAATAGAATAATTAAATGTAGCGTGTTAATTAGCTGGAAAGTTAAGTCATTGTCTACAGAGGTTGAAGAGTTTTATCTAAAACAAAAAATAAATATTAATCAACTTATAAATCAAGAAGGGTACAGGAACAAAAAAGCAGCTAAGCCACATTTTTATCAAAATTGAACTGGTCCGCCCTATTTTGTAAATTACCAGTATTAGCAAATGCAAAACAGTGCATTTAAAATTATGTCCAAGGACTTTCCTACTGTTTGTTTGTCATTTTTAGTATTTAGAATAAAAAATTACAACTGTCTGGTAAATTAAGTGGTAAAGTACAATATAATCAGGCAACATTTAAACAAAGTAACATCTTTTTGTAATCAATTACCTTAAAGTATCAAAAGTTTGTATTTAGTCAGTCTAAATTAAATTTGGTTTTCTGAACATTTTGGTAATTAATTGTGACTAGGCCCCTTTTTTTCCTGAACCCTTCAAATCTATTGGGGAGCACAGAAAGTGAGGCATAAATAAAAAAAGGTATACTGACCATTACTTCCCGGACTATGCTATTTTGTCTTCCACAATCCAATATTGCCATTCCAAACGGCTTGAAGAAAGTTTGTACTAGAACAAATAAAAAAAACAGTAAAAGTAACAATCTGAACTAAATCAATATAAAAATCAGATGTGAGGCATGAATACAAAAAGTACAGTGACTATTACTTCCCTGACTAGGCTGTTTTTGTCTTCAACGATGCAATACTACTGCCACTCCAAACGGCTTGAAAAAGTTTGTACTAGAACAAATAAAAATACAGTTAGATCGCTGCGTGCACCAAGAACTTTAAACATATCTTCAAAATGTTTATCACATACTAAATAGTTTTTACAAATTTGTTGTTTTATTCTTGAAAAATGGACTGGGAACACCCAATACTCAAATTTGAAATAAATCGTTATTAGGATTTCAGAGTGTTTACAAAACAATTTGGCATACAACAATACGATATATTACAGCTTTTGTAACTAAAAATGACCACAAAAATTTAAAATAAGCTCAATCGTCAGCAAGATCAAGTAAACAAATTGAACATTTAAAACACAATTGAACAAGACCAAGTTGACAATACAATAAACAATTATTTACAAAATACTTACTATTTATTCATCCAGGATCCAGATCACACCCAAATACAAACAAATAATAATTATTGACAATATGATATTGATAAACACAAAAATACAGGTAAAATGGCAAATGTCATTCACCGCGAGGTAATCGATAATGGATGCCTGACAATTGACAACTGACACTCCCACTCTTTCCACCATCAATTGTAGATTTCTGTAAATTGTTGTGTACAGCGCCATCTAGAATCTGTTCCTTGAAACAAAAATATAGTTTCAGCTCGGGCTATACCAGTTACCGATACCTGAGAAGTAATGAGGTGACGCGCGATGAGTGGTTTATATCATGGAGGAAGGATAATTAAGAGTTGCCGTTTCTTTGTATAAATATGGCAACATGTTTGCGATCAGCGCCATATGGCAGGGATTTGTCCAACTATTTCTCAGTCGGTAATATAGATGCCTGCATATTTTATTTCATTTAAAAATTAGCGGGATTTTGTAGCTCTACTTTAATTAGTATAACTAAAATTTTTTATTGGCATTTTTTACAACACAGACAAGGTGCAAGATGTAACAAAATGCCAATCAAAATGTAAAATTTTAAGACCCATAATATTAGGAAGGCTAATATAAATAATGTAACATTAAATAATTGTATTACCTATCTATTATATCATTAAAACTAATTTATAATAAATATTCTAAATAAACAATATTTTAATAAAACAACTAAAACTTAATTTTCTGTAAACTTGGGTAGGTAACAAAACACATGAAGGAGAACCATCCATATAATCTGAAACAGAAAAAATTCAAAACAGCACCTTAACTTCATATCATTTTGAATCTCTTTTTTCTTTTAGACATTGTCACAGTTTTATAATATCATTACAATATTTTATAATTAAAAATGATAGTCCCTTCATCTTCTTTTAATTAGATGTAGTACTTTTAAAAAAACATGCCTGCGGGATCAAGCTTTGAGGTCCTTCTTTGATTCGCAAATTTTACTTTGCTGTTTTCTAATTATAAAATAAAGTTTTTTTCTTCGTTGGAATTAACTATTTATTGGTTTGATTTAAAAATCCATTATCTAATCATT